TGAACCAAGGTTGAGAGGGTGCTGGTTGCTAGAGAGAAAGCCAGTGTCCCTGCCTGTGTTACATGTACCTGTCTCCTGGGAAAGTACATTGCAGGTGCTGGAGTGGCCCTCCTGCTGGTCCTGTAGGGAGAAGGAGCCCTCCTGTGTCCTAGGAAGGTCCCTATTCTAGAGGACTGTAGGGGCAGGGGTGTTCCTGTGCTGGAAACCACCCCACTTTGCTGTTCACCATGACAGAGGGGGTGGTCAGGTGGCCTTGGTATCTCTACGGTATTGAGTCAGCTCTGTGCCCCTTCTGTGTTCTCAGCCCAAACACCCAGACTGCGGTCTGAAAGGGGAGAATGATTCTATTTAAAGGGTTGTATAATTAACAAAGCAAAGATGAAATAACTGTAGTTTAGATCTTCAAAGAAGATAATAGCAGAGGCTAGGAGCCCCGTGGAGGAGCACGAGGAGTTTGCGGGTGACTGAGCCAGCTCTGGCTTGGGCAGAGCTCTCCCTGTCAGCATGGACAGACCCCAAGAACTAGGTGGGCTCCACCTTTCTCTGGGCTGAAATGAGCCAGGGACCTCAACAAAAAGAAAAAGGAGTGTGAACCGTCATAAGCCAGGTCCTCTCAGGCATTCAGACCTTTGTGCACCCAGGAAGCTGGGTGGCGGGGGACAGAGGGCTCATCGCCCTCACCTCACTTGGGGCTTCTGCCTTTCCTGAGGTGGATAAGCGGCCCAGCTTCCTCCTGTGCCTTTGAGCCTGTGGCGTTCTGAGGCAGGGGTTGCTTCTGGATATGTGCTGGCCAGAAAGGGACCATTGGGACCTGTTGCTCACAGCTACCCCCTTGCCAATGGGCTGCAAGCTCAGGGCCACTTCCCCAGCAGTGTGGGAACTTGAGGACCCCTGCAACCTGCCAAAGGTGAACTGCTCTCTTCCCAGGGATGCTGTTGTAACAAACCTGCCTTAGGACATTTTCTTTTGGTGTAGCTGAATACCTGGACCAGGTAACTTTTAAAGGATGGAGGCCAGTTCTGGGAGCTGAGGGTCCAAGTGCCTGTATCTGATGAGGCCTTCTTGACCGTGTCACCTGGCAGAGAAAGCAGGTGTGCTAGCTCGACTCTCTTATAAAGCCACTAATGCCACCTTGATTTCCACCCTCATCACCCCATCTAACCTGAACTCCCAAAGGCACTCCTTGGCCCACACTGGAGTGGAGCGACCTAGACCACACCAGGCCGAGTGTCTCCATGTCCCTTAGGAACCCACTGTTCACGCTGTGCTTGGCAGTGTGTACTGTTGAGTGGTGGGTTGGGGCTGGGGAAGGTGGACCCTGCCAGCCCAAGAGCAGATGGCAGAGGTCCACATGGCTCTAGGAAGCCCAGCCTATGTGTCTGGCTGATTTGGGAGATTAGCTTTCAGCACAGGACCTTCTAGGGATACACCGTGGTCTTCCTCCTCGAGAGCAAGGAGACTGGCTCCTCTGCACTGCCCTGGCCCCGAGCTCACCAGAGCACTTGCATTTGGGAAAAGATCTGAAGGGTTTGTGGTGCTCTGAACCACAGCGGGCCTGGCATCCCCAGGCTTTGTACACACACTTGGGTCTCAGGCCCACCATACCAGGCAGTTTGGGGAGCAGGCCTCAGAGAAGCCCACGGCTGTAGCCAGCAGATCCCAGTGGCTCTAGGCAACGTGAGGTGACTGGTTCTTGTTTCTGCTCCCACATAGGACAGCTGGGGGTGGGGGCTAAGCTGTCCCTCCAGGAGCCCTTGTTCCCAGTGACAGCAGACACTGAGATTTACACCCTCATTTGTGTGAGCTGCAGGGGACCTCCAGGAGCAGCCTAGTTTCTTGCCCTGAGAAATAAGGAAAGCTGAAGCTCAGTGTGATGAGGTGAACCACAGTGGCTTCGGATTTTTCTAGAACACCCCTCCCTGCTCTGAGTCATGGTTTGCTGGGGAGAAGAGACACACGCTCTTGATCACTTCTGTCTTCTCGGATTACAGGGCCACTCAGCCCAGGGTGACTAAGTGGAGCGTTTTGTGGGTCTTAAATGCTTTCAGCTGGGTGTTTCTATAGTGCCGTCACCATAGCACCCAGCTAAGCAAGGAGCTGCAGCAGCGCGGGTGGTGACAAGCTCAGTGCCATTTCAGCTGGCCTGTACCACGTTGTCAAGGTGTAGGGCTCACTTCGTGCTCTGCACTCTTCAGAGAGCTAAGACACCCCTCTTCCCATGGGTACCCCCATACGCCCAGCAGCATAGCACCTTGGGGCCCCACCAGGCTGGCTGCCATTCCCTCAGCCTCCCTGTCCCTCACTGTCCCCTTCGTAGGGTGACACTTCTTACTTGGCCCAAATTTCCAGGACCTGCCCAGCAAACATGTGGCCTTTCTCTGTGGCCTCAGACAGGCATCCAGCAGACTTGACTGTGCTGTGGCCCCAGAGTAGGCAGGGGAGCCCAGGGCCGCTGAACCACGCAGGACCTGGAGACTCTCCTGGTCCTCATGGCCCCTGCCTGGGTTGGCTGTCCATTGGTGGCTCAGGGAACACCTTCAGGAATTGGCTGCATGTGGAGAGACTTGGGACCCCTGCTTTCTGATCACTGGGCTCCGGGCTGTGACCTGAGGGGCTCCAAGCCTTTCTTGGGCTGTTAAGTAGAAATCTTAAACACCACTCCTCCTAGCCCCAGAGGCTGCCAGACCTTGCTAATGAGGCCAGTGCCCCATGCCGCGCACTGCACTCCGGGGAGGAGCGCCTCAGTGTGAAGCTGCATCGCAGCCTACAAACCCAGAAACCAGTGGGGCGGGTGGGCAGCCACTGGCTCGAGCCTCAGTTTAGGAGGTGCTATTCTCAGGGCAAGGGAACTCAGGGGACCTTGCGTCCTGGTTTATGCTGCTGTCCTGTGGTAACTGAATGTTCCAAGTAGCACCTTCTCTTTTCCAAAGTCCTATTAAGGAATAACTTGGGCCGAGGTTGTAGGGCTGGCACCTCTGCCCACTTCTCTTTCTTAGTAACTCAGCCAAGTAAAGGGAACCTCGGCAGCTGCAGGCCAGGGCTGGGTATGGCTTTGGGCCTCTCTGGGCACAAGCTCACCCTCTCCCTGATACTGCCCTGTCCCCTCCAGGTCCTTCCACCCTAAAGCTTCAGAAAGGATTCCAAACCAGGTCCCAGTCACCCTCCTCCATTGCTCCTTGGAACCCTTCCTGCCACAGCCTCAGAGGGTCTGTGACTCTGAATAGCTTCTCCCACCTCCCAGAGTAGGAGCTTCCAAGAGGAGGAGGTTCTGGGAGCAGGGTGGGGGTGGAGGTGGGGGTGGTTGGTAGGTGCATGTTGCATAACCAGAGGAAGAGTACTTGGAGCAGCAGAGAGGGAGGAGGAGGCGGAGGAGATGGCGGCTGTGGCTGTGCCATCATGGCAGGGCGCAGAGCTGCTGGAAAGCTACGCAGGACTGCCTGGAGCCTCTCACTTGGTGCTTGGACTCCTCACTCCCTGAGTGCCATCCTGGATCGCATCAGGCAGGCCCTGTGGCCACTAGGGAGGACCTCGGCTCATTCCTGGTAGCCCCAGCCAGTATCTAGGGCTAGGGTTAGTGGTAGCATGCGCCTGCTATTTTGAGGCCCACTTAGGTTGCCCTCCCAGTGGAGAGGAGTGCAACTCAAATATGGAAGCCGGGGGGCTGCAGCAGCAGAGAGAACAGGGTCTCAGGGGCAGGGCTGAGCAGCTTGCGTGGGGCAGTGTGGCTCACTTGTGCTGGCTGGTGGTCAGACATGGTAGGCTGGTGGCTGCTCCGGGGACCAGCCCACACTAGCTGGGCTCCTCCCTGCCATCCAGCTGAGCCCCGCATGGAGAGGCCCCCAGAGAACAGCCTGCTGCTCACACCCTCATTGCCCACGCTCAGCCGCCCACCCATACTGAGTCAGAGCTGCAGGCAGCGTGAGTCAGATGGGAGGTGCCCTCACAGGCAGGCCTGCCTCTGCAGGAAGACAGCTTTTTCAGGAAGCGGTTCTGCAGGAGCTTCTCTTGACCAGTGATGGGGGGCACCCTCTGCTGCAGGCCAGAGGGAGTTCAGTCTGGGTAGGGTGTGCCAGAGGCAAGGAGAGTCCAGCTCCAGGAAGTGTGCTGGGGAGGTTCTCCTGTGTGCTTTGCAGATCAGGACAGCCAATCACATACTTGCTGACATTTTGAGCTCAAGGCACCTCCTTCGAGGGCCAAGAGGCTTCCAAAGCCACTACATTTGGGCCCATTTTCACCCCATCCTCAGCCTTGGAGGCACCAGGGTAAAGTTGAGGGTCAGGGTCTGGGTCACTTTTCTGTCTTGCTCAGCGAGGGCTGTTCTCCCAGGCACATCCTGATCACTTCAGGGTGACCCACATGTCTCCAGAAAGTGGCCTGTACTATTTCCGTTCAGCGCTTTGTCCTCTCTTCAACCTGTCAAGCACTCAGTTGGGGAGAGCCATGATCTCCTGCAGGACAGTCCCCAAGATGCTTTCCCTGCCCAGCAGAGAAGCACTAAGATAGTCTCAGGGGCTTTTCTCTGGCAGGAGTGTCCCCTGAGGTCCCCTCAGCCAACATCCCCAACTGTAACTGTCCTATGTCTCCTGTTCATACTGAGCTGCAAAAGCCAAGGGACCATCAGGTATCACATGAGGACCAAGCAGCTGGCTTGGGGAAGTGGGGTATAGGCGGAAGGTTGTGTATCCATGCACTTCTGGGAAGTGAGTAATGCCTCAGAGGGGCTGGCCTGGCCCTGGAATATGCTTCATCCTCCCTTCTCGGGAGGAGCTCAGGATCCTGACCCCTCCGCGTGAATTTTGGCCACATTGGTCAGCATGGTCAGGCACACAGAAGTGGCCACCGGGGGTGCAGTCTGCAGGCCTCTCCTGAGTGGCCCAGATGCCCTTCTGTTTCCAGTCTCCCCTTTGTGAGAGTGGGACCTGTTCTGTATGTCCCCAGGGCTGCCCAGAGCCTCTGTATATTCTCCCACCACTTATGCTGCACTGTCCTTCCACCCCCAGTACATTGACGCCATCAGCAACAAGCAGGGCGAGCTGGAGAACTATGTGTCGGACGGCTATAAGACAGCACTCACTGAGGAGCGCAGGAGGTTTTGCTTCCTGGTGGAGAAGCAGTGTGCCGTGGCCAAGAACTCTACCGCCTACCACTCTAAGGTGAGGAAGCTTCTGGGCTGCTGCTGCCGGGCTGGGCTGTTGGGGGAAGCGAGCAAGCACCAGCCAGCAGCCTGCACGTGGGCAGAGCCCAATCTCCACCTGTGCTGTTGAAGTGAGGAAGCTGAGATGACAACTCCTCTGCCCCATTCCCCTTGAAGACTGCAGGGGACAGAGCTCTTCCAGGAAACTACCAGGTCACAGGAACCAAGTGCTCTGAAGCACTGTGTGCCGAGTGGCTTTGAGGCCTTCTTAGGCACCCATGTCTTGGTGAGGCTGGGGCTGGTACAGGCTAGGGAGTGGTACATGGTGCTTCTTGCTGGCACAGGGTCTGTACATGGCCTCCTGGTAGTGTTGACTCTCTGCCTTCACTTACCCTTTCTGACAGCTTCTCCATGGGGTCCCCGACAGGGGCTCTACTTGCCTACAGTGCCAAGGGCTCCCAGCCCCTGGCCAGCAGACCCTGCCATTTAAGACCAGGCCATGTCGTCAGCTCTCTGGACCTCCTGGGCCTGTGTGTATCAGCTGCCACAACCTGGCCGACCCTGAGGGAACTGTCTGCCTCACCATATCCCAGCATGCCCCTGTCCTTTGTTTCCATGTTCTGGCTCTGGGGGCTCCCTGGATGAAACATGCACCTCTGTACTCTCGAACCGTTGGTCTTGTGGCAGCCCAGGGTCTTGGCCTCATCCTCTTCTTTCTCTGTTGACCCCTGAGACTCACACTTGCTGCTGAGGACCCCTTCCTTGCTTCTTAAGCCTGCTCCCTCACCCAGATTCCGCACCCCGTATTTCATATTAATTGCCCCACAGTGACTTAAAGTGTGAGGGATTCTGCCTTGGGAGGCTCCATGCCCCAATATCTAGCTCAGTCGGGGTACTGGGGATCGAACTCGGCACCTTGCCCTTGCCAGGCTGACTCGCTGCTGAGCTATATCCCCAGCTGGCTCAGTCTCACTGAGCAGGTGGTCATAGTTTTCCATGCAGTGAGCTCTTCAGCAGAGGCCCCAGTGGGCTTCCTCCTTAGGGGCCTGGAGTCAGAGGCCCAGCATGGCATTTGGCTGGTGTGGCCCCCTGGGGCAGGCAGTGTCCAGAGCACAGGCTCTCTGCTATAAACAGGTGGGGTCTGGGCCCCTGTTCAACCATAGTCCATAGGCAGGAGCTGAGCTGGGGTCAGACTGTGTCCCTGGAACATTTGTAGATCTTAGAAGATGTGGTTTGGCTGCTGAGCTGGCCAGGAATGCCCTGGTTGTGTCCTTTTGAGGAGCAAGGATCTGCGGGGTACACGTGGACATGCGCCCACCTCCCTCTCGCAGATGTGCCTTGTGCACGCACACACGTGACCCAGAACCACTGCTCTGATCCCCACAGCCCGAGGCATGAAAGAGACACATGCTTGCCTCCCCAGAGCCTTCTGCCTGCCTGGGCCTGTTCTGGCTGTGGGCAGGTGCAAAGCTACGACAGGATGACCTGCTGTTTGTATCTGGTAGAGGCACTGTTGGCCATGACTCTTCTGTCTCTGCACCTTTGTAGCCCCTGCTGAGTGAGCTCCTGGTAATGGGTATCTGTCCCAGAGCTGGAGCAGAGCGGGCCTTTTGCCTGCATACAGGGCCTCCACTCTACACCTAGCAGCAGGTGGCTGCGCCCTCTAGCGGTATACAGGTCTAACGATGGAGTCTGGGAGGAGAATGCCAACCTGGTGTGGTGGCAGCAGCTGGCTGTGCCCCTGGCCTGTAGCCACAGCCACATCTGGGGTGTGGGGTGGGGTTGAAATTTTCTAGTTACTACAGTGCAGCCCTTGCAATCCCCTTGGCTTGGTGGCGGGGGCGGGGATGGGCTCTTTGCAGGTGCCCAGATTCCAAGCACAGCTGCCATTTAGCACTCTGTAGAGCAGATGTTGGTGCCACGCTGTGGCTTCCTTCAGCCATACTCTGCTCATGTATAACTTGCCTGTATCCCAGGCAGGCTCCCTGTATCCAGATGCAGAACCCCACTTCTGAATCCTGGTGTTGGACAGGACTGTTGGCCTCAGCTTCTCTTAACAAGAGCCATCTTCCCACAGCCCAGAAGCCCTGTCCCTTCCCCAGTGTGACTCTCTCTCCTGCCTCCCCAGTGTTTCTTATTTAGTGTGGTATGTTCTGCCCATGGAGGATCCATCTCGTGTCTGGCTGTTTAAGCCTTGGTATGATCTCACTCCTGCGTTTCCCAACTGTACAGCATGTGACATTTTACACAGGCTTCCTTTCATGAGGGGATCAGGGGCTCACAGATGGCCAGTCTTGCTGTAGGTGCCCCTGGCAAAGAGTAGCCCTCACCACGCAGAGTGCACATGCAAAGTGACAGTGTCAAGGAGGCATCTCTGGGCTCTGCTTGCTACATGGGTCCTTCAGACACCCCTGACTCCCTCTCCCCTGCTTCTTCTTACAGGGCAAAGAGCTGCTGGCCCAGAAGCTGCCATTGTGGCAGCAGGCCTGTGCTGACCCCAACAAGATCCCAGACCGTGCCGTTCAGCTCATGCAGCAGGTGGCCAGCAGCAATGGCTCCATCCTCCCCAGCTCCCTGTCGGCTTCCAAATCCAATCTGGTCATTTCGGACCCCATTCCTGGGGCCAAGCCCCTGCCAGTGCCCCCTGAGCTGGCACCATTTGTGGGGGTGAGTCTTGGGTCTCCAGAAGCTTATAGATGTGGGAGTGATGCCCTTTGGTTGGGGGTGGTGTGCTGAGCCTAGGGCCCCCCTTGGAGGGTCCTCTCCCAAGCTGGCCCCCCAGCGACGCCCTGCCCGTGCCTCCTCTTCTCTCCAGAGGATGTCTGCTCAGGAGAATGTGCCCATCATGAATGGCGTCGCAGGCCCGGACAGCGAGGACTACAACCCCTGGGCTGACCGCAAGCCTGCCCAGCCCAAATCCCTATCTCCCCCGCAGTCTCAAAGCAAGCTGAGTGACTCCTATTCCAACACTCTCCCCGTGCGCAAGAGCGTGACCCCGAAGAACAGCTATGCCACGAGTAAGGGCCTGCAGGTTTGGGTTTGGACTTCCCCTTCCCCATGCCTCCCCAGGTTTCTAGTACCACCACGCTCCTGAGTGGAGGTCTGGGAAACTCTGCTCCTGCAAGCTTGTGGGTTGTGTGCAGTGCCTGGGGGCAGTGTGCATGTGGACAGCGTGCACATTTCTGTGTGCACTCATGCTTGCGCAGGTGCACATGAGGGGATATTGTGCAACGCGAATGCTATGGAGATGATGTCTTCTTGTAAAGTGCATGTGTTTGCATGTACATTGCATGTGTGCAATGTATGTGGTGTCATTGGGTTGCAAATTAATGTGGCAGGTGGCAGACCACCCAAAGGCTGGCTTAGTCAGTGACCAGGCCACCCAGGCATGGGAGAGCTGCAGCGAGACATGGGGCAGCTCTTCCTGCCCAGTGTCTAGTCTGGAGTGCCATCACCGTCCGCATTCAGGCTCCTTGGCATCTACCCTGGGTTCCATCTGCCACCACCCATCCCCTCACACCTACCCCATTGTCCCAGCAGCAGAGAACAAGACTTTGCCACGCTCGAGCTCCATGGCGGCTGGCTTGGAGCGCAATGGCCGCATGCGGGTGAAGGCCATTTTCTCCCACGCGGCTGGTGACAACAGCACCCTGCTGAGCTTCAAGGAGGGCGACCTTATCACCCTGCTGGTACCCGAGGCCCGGGATGGCTGGCACTATGGCGAGAGTGAGAAGACCAAGATGTAAGTGTCCATCTGGAGGGGAGCAGGTCCTGGGTCCTAGCCCCTGTTACTGAGCGTACGGGGACAGTGGCACTCAGGTGTGTTCTTGACACTGGGTTCTTTCACCTGTCGATCAGGTTGCAGGTCCTCCCAGGATGGGTGCAGGGCTGAGACCTGCCCGCATGCAACCATGGCTTTCGTGGATGTCATTAACTGTTAGCTCCTTTGCCCCTTATTCTTTCTACTTCCCTTGCTTTGATGTGGCGTGGTACCCCAACTGTATATGTGCCATAAGGGACCTGGTCATTTCCCCATGGGGAGCAGGTGCCTGGCTTCCCAGGAGGTAGGTGGCAGAGTGAGTGGGATTCAGCCAGCCAGACACTACAGCCTTTGTGCACCTAGTCTCTTGTGTGTGTCTAACTGGCCCTCAGTTTCATTGCCAAGTCACAAGGCTATGCCCGGATCTTCCTCTTGCTTGCTGAGCTAGGCTGGCCAGGGGCTCCTCCTTCCCAGGATATTTTTATCTAGGTGCCTTTGGGCAAGAGAGAAAACTGTCCATAGGGGAGGATATACAGGAGCAAGAGCCTAAACCAACGGTAGCAAACCTATGGCACTGTGCCACAGCCGACTTTTATTATCCTTTGTAGCTCTAAGAGATTCACCATCACTGGTCTAAACCATGTTGTGCTCTGGCCCAGTGCCCAGTGGCAGCTGTGGGCCGGGGGGGCCCTGGAATGAGAGCCCCCACAGTGATGAGGGGTACATGGCAAGTAGTGCATAGGTGTGTCCACAGGGCCAGGTTGCTTGTCTCTCCACAAGCGGGTGCAGCCAGGCTGTGGACTTTGTGGGATTGGGTCTGGGGATGAGGGCAGAATGCCATCCGCTCATCTGCCTGAGCTTCGGGGTAGAGTGCTGACCAGGAGCCTCTCTTGCAGGAGGGGCTGGTTTCCTTTCTCCTACACCCGCGTTCTGGATAGTGATGGCAGTGACAGGTTGCACATGAGGTGAGTGTGCCAGCTGAGCCAGATGGGTTTCCAGGCTCTGCGTCCACTCAGCTCCAGCCCCACTGCACAGCTGAGGCCGGAGCATTGCTGTGGCATCCAGAGGAGCTCTGGGAGTCAGTGCTGTGTGCAGCAGCTGTTGGTCAGCCTGTTGTGGTGGGGTGCACCCCTGCTACTTGTCTCCTAGGGATACAGACCTCTCATAGGTCCTTAAATCATCCTGGCCCTTGGGGACTCAGTAGGACCTAGTGGGAATGATTGGCTCTGAGAGGGTTGGGGAGTCACTGCAGGACTTGGGCCCCCATGCCATGGGTGATATGGCAGCTTTCTCTGGTCCCAGGGAGACCAGCCCTGAGGGAGGCATGGAGGCCAAGAGGCCTGTGGGGCTGGGTGGGCTATCTGGCCACCCCCTGAGCCCCACATTCCCACAGCCTACAGCAGGGCAAGAGCAGCAGCACAGGCAACCTCTTGGACAAGGATGACCTGGCCATCCCACCCCCAGACTATGGCACATCGTCCAGGGCCTTCCCCAACCAGACAGCTGGCACCTTCAAACAGAGGCCCTACAGTGTGGCTGTGCCTGCCTTCTCCCAGGTGAGTGAGTTCTGGGCCCTGGGTCAGGGCCCCTGAATAGAAAGTGGGTGTCCTGCCTGCCAGGCCTGAGCGAAGGGTCTGGTTTAGGACTTGAGTCACACAAATACCTATGGATAAGTGCAGAGTCCACATCCTTCACAGTGGACCTGTGCTGGCCTTGGTCTTCTCACCACCCTCCAGGGTGTGATGTCAGGACTGGTGACAGTTGGCCCACAGGTTGTCCTTGGATGCCTACCACTGCTCATAAAGAGCCTGGGGGCCAGGGAATTGATTTCCAGAAGTTCCTTCCCTGAGAGCCATAGGCCTCAGTCATGTGAGCTCTTGCTGCCCAGCAGTATCTGGTCAGTGTAATTCTAGGGATCTGGCCTTTTTGTCCCACAGGCCAGAGGCAGCTGATGGAGACATGGTCCTCAACCTTGGGATAGGTCCCTAGGTTCCCTTGTGTGAGAGCCAGTCTCTGCCCAGGTTGGATAGGGTTTGAGTTTTGAAACAGAGTCCCACCTGACTATGTCCAGAAAGACTGTGGAGTTGGGAGTGGAGGTCCCTGTCATTCAGGAGCTTCTGCCAAGTGTCTAATTGAAGGACATTAGTTTGCTGTAGCCTCCAGGTCAGAAACAGGAAGACAGTTTTCCTCTGGCTGTAGTCCTTGGGTTAGGCTAGGGTTTGAGAAAGAGAACCAGTCATTCCCAAGTCTTGGACATTCCAGGGGTACCACCATTGTGTCCCAACACCTGACAGGATTTGAGGCTGTGCAGAAAGTCATGTGGGAGGTGTGAAGTGCCTTTCAGGCTATGCTCCCATTCCCCTGTGAGGGCTTGGCATCTAGAATGCAGGCTGGTATGGCACAGAATCCAGACTCTGGCAGTGTGGCCATCCCTTGGCCAGAACCTGCCAGAGCTCAGAGCATGTGGTAGCGGCAGAGGGTGGTAGCCCTAGGTGGAGAGCTGAGGGCTTAGGCCAGTTGCTGGACTGGGAAGAGCCCCTCACTCAGTGTAGTGTCTGGCTTTTGGTTCAGGGCTGGGAGAGCTAGGAAACATGAACCAGGACATTTCCAGGAAGCTACAGCAGGCTCCAGGGCTCAGGAGGACATGGGGCCCAGGGCCAGCCTAGGTTTATGTGAGGCAGCCCTGCAGGGGGCCAACTCTACAGCCTCCTCCATGCCCAGCCCTGCCTGCTAGCCTACTGTGTAAGGACCTGGCTGAAGGCGGGTGTCCTCTGCCTGACCCGACCTTTTCAGTATGAGAGGTGTGTACAGCCAGAGACGATGAGGTAACCTGGAGCTCACATAATCCAGTGAGCCACTGGCTAGGTACAAGTGGCACAGTCAATTTGGGAGGTCACCATGAGGAGTCAGGGTCTCTGGAGAGGCCCCAGCCACTGTGGCCAGAGAAGGGGTGGAGAGACTGGGGGAGCCACCTTCCTAGGGAGCCTGTCTGAACATCAGGGTCATCCCTGTGGACTGTGCAAGAGGGCAGGGTGGGGGCTCAGTCCCTTGGGCCCCAGCCTGACTTCTGTGCCCTGACTCCGTAGGGTCTGGAGGACTATGGAGCACGGTCCGTGAGCAGGTAAGGCACTTTGGATTCATCTTTGGGACTGTGGGTTGGGGGTTCCAGGGACTTGGCTAGCGTAGCTCCCGTCTTGGGACCTAGAAGCCAGCTGGTGGTTCTTCCTCTGGGGAGTCCTGGCTGTCCCTAAGGGCACTGCCTTCCTAGGGCTCCCAGTCTTTCCTGTTATTCTCAGAAACCCCCTTGGCCCTGATCCTTTTCCCTGTCATCCAGGCCACCCTGTCCAGCCCCAGTGGTAAGGACAGGGTTGGGGAGGGTTGCTTACCGCCTCTGGGTTGCCTGCCTGGAACCAGGTAGGACCACTGCTGCCTGAGTCCCAGCATGGACACGACCCGCCCTGGCTTCTCCATCTCCCTGCTCGGCCAGGTGGCCTGCTGCTGGCCAAAGGACACCTGGGCAGCTGTCCTGTGCTTTGTTTCACAGCGGCAGTGGCACACTGGTGTCCACAGTGTGAGGACGCTGACCGCGGCGGCTGCTCTGAAGAGCTCCTTCCCGTTTCCCTCCTCAGCTCTCGTTGGTTTGTTCTTGGGTTGTTTTCTTCCCTTCCTGCCCCTGCCTTTTGGTTGGTGACCCCAGACTCTGTGATCCCCCAGGGTCCATGGTGCTGCTCCCTGCGCCCCCTGTGCTCACCCCCTTTGCCCCCCATGTGTCCCCAGCCTCAAGCAGAAAGTGCCAGGCGGGGCCTGCCAGGCACTGCCCTGGCCCCACAGTGTTCGTGACGCACACCCCTTTTCTAAGGCTCACTGTGAGCCAGGTCTAGAGTTTGAAGAAAAAGAAAAATCTTTAAAAAAAAAAAAAAAAAAAAATTTGAAAAACAGGAAAAAGGACTTTTTTTTTCCTGAAAAAACAAAAACAGATATGCATGGACTCTGGTGTACGTACTGTTATTCTGCATCTGACCCTGGCACCCTGGCGTCTTCTAGGACAGGGGAGGAAGCGGGTCAGGTCCCCTTCCAAGGGCCACATGGAGAAAAAGGGGCTCAGAACAAGCCTGGGGGGGCCCTCCTGAGGAAGCTGGCCACTCCTGTGATGGAGGCTGCAGCCCCCACCTAGGCCCGCCCAGCCCCCTCAGCCAGGCCCCAGGCCTCTCTCCTTGGTGACACTGCTGGACAGGTGTACATAGGGCGGAGCTCCGCAGCGGGCGTGGTGTTACCTCACACAGTGCGCTGGCAGGCGGGGGTCGGGGGCAGCCCTACCCGGCCACACGCAGACATTCCAAAGACCTCCAGAGACACCCCACCCCCACACGTTTTGGAAATCGTTTCTTTAACCAGCTTTGTGAGGGAGTTGTGACTGTCTGTGGCTGCTGGGCCACAGAGGCAGGGTGCCCCAACCTGGTCAGGCTGGCCCCATGCCACCCGCCAGGGGGCAGGCAGGCCTGGCCCAGGTCCTCCTAAATGCTCTCGTCTTTTTGTGTGTCTTGGTGACTTTAGAAACAAGCACACTGGACTCAGTGGCTACTGGTTTTGTCTCTTCACACACTGAATTCTGGGCAGCCAGGCTGAGGTGCAGCCAGGTTAGCCCTGTGGCCAGCGGAGCCCCTTGCGAAGCTGTGGACGTGCCTCTTTCTCATGTGGCTTGGCGAACTCCCGCACGCCTGCCTGCCTGCTGAGGACTGGGACGTGGCTGGTAGTGTTGTGAGCACTGGCTCAGGCACAGACTGACCCTGTTTTATATTTAAGGAAAACATAGCCAGAGCCTGGACCTGTGTAAAGAACCTTCTGTGTTGTTCTAACTTTGCTAAAAGATTTCAAATCCAGGGGATTCCATGCACAATGGATGAATGTAGACACAAAACAGCAAACTTGTATGAAGATGTAAAGTGCTGAAAATATTTTTTTCCTTTTTCCTTTCCTTTTTCTTTTTCTTTTTTTTTTAAAAAAACCTGAATTGTGCCCTGTACTGCAGTTAACTGTTTGAATAAAAGTTTTATTTATTGCATCCAGTTGGGTTGGGAGCCTCCTTCCAGTCTCCGGCACAGGTTGGGGCAACGTGAGCAGGCCACACCTTGGTGCTCCCTAACCTACGGCCCGTGGTCAGTTTCTGCAGGACCCTGGGGCTGTTTGCAGAGCACCTGGGTCACGGACTGTCGTGACCTGGACATGCAGTCAGCGTGGGCCCAGCTGGGCTTTAACTTGCTCGCTGATGGCACCTGGGGTGGCCCCAGTGAGAGAGCAGGACCTGGTGGGGCCTGATGCAGATATGGAAGGAACAGGGACACCGTGTTCTGGGTCCCCTTTTCGCAGCCTGCGCTGACCCCATTGACCCATCCTCCCTGCAGTCCATACTCCCTCCCTCTAACCCCAGCTCCACCAACCAGCCTGTGTTTCCTTGCAGTGCCAGTGTGGAAGTGGCCAGATTTTGAGCTGCCTTGACTAGTTAGTAAGTTGCCCTGGTCTTCTGGTGCCCGTTTGCATCTGCAGTGGCTCTGGACAAAAACCTGGCCTCGTTCTGGTTCTTGCTTTGGGTCTTCTTCCTTAGAAGCGGTTCCCCCCTTGGGTTTCATGGGTCTCCTTCCTTCAGCCTAGAGCCTGTGGTTCTGCCTGTCTGCCCCACCACTGCCTTTGCTGCTAGGTGTGGTGTTGGCCTGGCCTCTGCCTGTCTTCTGCCCCTGCTGCTTTGGCTATAATCAAAGGGTGACACTGGCAAGCAGTTGGGGACAGGCCTCTCTCCTGACCCTGTAGCACTGGTGTGGGTGGTCTTCTGGGTATGTGGTCCCCTGGGTATGTGGTGGCGTGAGCCTGGCCTGGTGAGTATCATAGCTAGGGGGAGAGGGCTGGGCTTAAGGTCACGGTCTCAGGAGTGGTGGATCAGACCCCGTTACCTTCTGATATTACCTTGTCTGGATCTCTTGTCACACCTCCATGGTCCTGGGATGCTGGCCCAGCCGCCTAGGAGTGCCCAACTGCTACACATGGGGCCTGTGCTGACCACCTCCGGTGTCTTCTCCAGTGATAACTATAACTGTCCCCTCAGTGCTGGAGAAAGTAAGGGCCAACACCCTCAGACACACCCCATGCCCCTACAATTGGGCTAAGCAGGCACTGCTGTGCATCTGTCCTGCTGGCAGGAGGGGGCTTCCCACTGTCCCCCAATACCACGAGGGTGGTCTGTGTTCATGCGGGCAGCCCAACTACTCAGGCAGACCCTGGACCCCTGCTCTTTTGCCCCTGCTTTTTTGTGGGAACTATAACATGAACGGCAGGAAGTGCTGTAGGAAAATGTTCCTGCAGTTTGAGGACAGGATGTAAATGCCCTTGGCTGACCCTGGCCAGGGCAGCTTGTGCCGCCTGCAGCTCTCTGCACACAAGATGCCCTTAGAGAGCCAGCCCACTATGCTGCCCCCAGGTCCCTTTGAGCCAATTGAGGCCATGCTGTCCTCACTGGCGAGGCCCAGGAGGGCTAAAGGTTCAAGAAGGCCTCTGTTGGGCCTGACGGACATGGGTAGAGTAGTCAGGTACTGCCGGCACAACCAGCCTGGCACCACGCCTGATGCCTCAAGTCATCTCCTGCCCACACAACCAGCTGGCCTCAGGGTGGGTGGTCAAAAGCTACCTGTGGTTGCTTAACAGGTGCTCCCCACACCCCGCTGACTAGCTTCACCCCAAAGGTAGGTCCCTGGGTGAGGGGCTGGTAACAGTCCACGACCCACACTGCTGGTCAGCAGAGGCCCACAGCACACCTCAGACCCCTGAGGTGTCCCTGCTCTAAGGATGCCAGAAGCCACTTCGGTGGAGAAAATGGGCAGCAGCCGGATTCTATCCTAGAGTCCCTTGAAGGCTCCAGACACACTTTTGGTGATCTTCGTTCAGTCACCCTGCTTCTCATTCAAGTGGTTAATCAGAAGACTGTGACCTAAAGCCTGCAGTGTCTTTAGGTTCAATGAGACTAAGACAAGCTGGAGTGGCTGCAGGAAGACTTACTTCTCTGGGCTTCTGGCCACTGTCCCCCATAGACTGCTGCCCACAGGACTGAGGTCTTCCTCCCAGATCTTGGCTCTGAGCAAGCACAAGGGTCGCCTGGCTTGCTTCTGCCATGCAGTGTCCCCACCCTACCCTCTAAGTCACATCTAGTCCCAGAGGCCTACTCCGGTCTACTGTCATCTCCTGTATCCTGAATCCAGCTCACCCAGCTCTGCAGACTGTCCTGACCCAGAGCATGCACTCTGGGTCTGCCCGCTCTTGGACACTTCTTGGTGACATTCCTTTGCTGGGCACAGCACGTGCTGGTCCTATCCCTTGGAGGTTTCTTATTGCCCATCTGCAGGATGGCATGTTCAGAAGGAAGCATACAAGACAGACGTGTCTGGCAGGCACACATATAGCAGCTTTGAAGTGAGTTTAGCCTCCAAATCCATTTTTCCTGCCTTCTCAATGTTGGGCCCTAGCTTCTGTGGGGTCACATAGGTGAGCTATGGGGGTCACTCGCAGGCACCTGTTCTCAGACTGTTCCAGGAGTAGTGGCTGCACACCCATCTTCTGGGTGTGGCTGCAGTCTCTGGAAGCCTTGCTCTGTGTCTGGCTGTGTGCAGGGTAAGAGCCTTCCCACCTCTCAGCCAATCAGACTGGCTTGACCACTTTTAGGTTCCCAAGTCCCCATTAGTTGAAACTCACAGTGCTCTGAAAGGCCTCACCATGTTGGTGGTTGGAAGAAAGAACATGTGGGTCAGAGAACAGGTCCTCTTGGAAGTCCCTTGGGGGACTTAGCAGGCTTGCGCTTCTGTGCTGGTCCTGGGTGGTGGTGCATGTCTTTCAGCGAGAGTTGGGTTGAGTTGAAGCTGGGCCAGAAAGAGGGTGTGTCCCACAGGACACGTGGCCCTTTTGCCCTGGGCACTAGTCGAATTGGCCTCCCGCCCTGGTACCCAGGCAGATCCATTCTTTGCTCTGCTGTCCAACACTCTTCAGAGGAAGACCTGTCCCCCAAGACCTGCCTAAGTCTGGATTTGAGAGCCTTCTAGGAACCAGAGTGTGCAGGCCTGGCCCCCCACTTGGCTTGGAGTTGGTAGGCCTTGCTGATGACAACAGGGTCCTCGCCTTTGAGCCCTGGGAAGCCTCTGCCTAGCCAGCAGGTGAGGGCTTGAAGCTTCTGTGTACAGACCAGAGCCACAGAGAATGTTGCAGACCTGATGCTGCAGGTAGGGTCAACAGTGGCCTTTAATCCTGAACCCTGTAGCCCATACACTGCCAGCTGTGAAGCCTGAAGATACGTGCAAAGCATCCTGGAGAGGAAAAGCCGCGTGGATCTGTCAGTCTACTCTCCGTGTCTCATCCTTTTCAAACTTCACAGTCAAGTATTTCAGATTTTTAGAAAACACATAGTCCTCAAAAACATGGGGTAATGCCCTTGCCCATGGGGGCTTTCTGGGGCACACTGGATGGAGCGCCTGCCACTGGCCCACCAGGCTCGAGGACCCAGCTCGGCCTGAGGTGACCCCACTCCAGGTAACAGCTCCGGCGCCGAGCCTGCTTCCCCCAGAGTATGGTCCTGTGGCTCCAGACCCCGTGTCCACGCACCATCTGTGCTGTCCTCATGGAGCTGTCTGATGTCCCTGCCTGCTGCCCTGCGCTGTCCCCATGCCCAACAGGGATTGTAGGGAGAGAGGCTCCGTGAGGATGAGGCCAGTGCTGCCCCCATCTGTGCTCATCTTGTTCCATTTCCACTTCTTGTCTCTTGAGTCCTATCTGTGCATCAGCTGTGACCAGGGAGGGTGTGGCTTTCCTGGGAGGAGGTGGCGCTGTGTCCTCCACAGGGAAACTGTCTTGCAGTCAGCCCTCTGCAGGGGCTGTGGTGTTCACCCCCCGCGTGTGCCTTGTCTGTCGTGTCTGCGTGTTCTTGGCGTGCCTGGGTGCCCTGCATGCCTGGACTGGCTCATACTGTCTGCTGAGCCGTGTCCTGTTTTGTGAGAGGCCATCAGCCCCTCTATTCTTAGGGCTGTACCTGGTGGAGGGTTCAACAAACTGACGTGGACCCTCCTCAGGGCTGTCCAAGTCCTGAGAAGGAAATGGCCCCTGACCCCTAAGGACAGAGATCCACCCTGAGCTGGGAGGGGTTCACCTGGACCCCCCCCCATCCCCAGTTGCAGGTGAGGATGCCCTGCCTGCCCAGAGCATGTAGGGTAGGCAGAGGGTAGTTGCACTGGGGGCCAGCAGGCCTTGCAGACAGCACCTGGCCTAGCCCTAGCCCTGCTGCCTCATCTCCTACTCTAGGCTGGACTATCAGAGTCTCCCACTGAGGGTCCCAGGACAGCCTGAGTTGTACAGTCTGTCCATGGTATCTGTCCCAACCTGAAACTGTTCTTCTTTCCTCAGGAACCCTTTTGCCAATGTGCATCTGAAGCCAACAGTGACCAACGACAGGTCTGCCCCCCTCCTCAGCTGATGGCCACAGCCACATCGCCAGCCTGTGGGCCCACCTGCATAACTGACATTGATACCACCTGCGTGTTCCTGGTTAGGGGACAGACGTCCAGACCCTACTTCCTGGCATCACCCTATGCACATCAGCCTGCCCTGGGCTGGATCCCAGCTGCTCCAAGGGGGCTATCCAGGAACCCAAGACCCACTGGCTATGCCACCCTGGCAGAGAGCTGGCTCCCTGAAGGCAGAGACCCCTGGTCCTGGCCTGTGATGCCTTGGGCGAGGGAGGACGCCCCCTTTGTCCAGGGACTAGAAAGGGAGCTCATTCCCACACTGCTTCCAGCTGCTGTATGTCTGGTCAATAAACATTTGTACAAAGTGTGATCTGTGGTCTGAGCATGGGGAGTGCCTGTGCCCTCACTGAAACAGTAATTGAGCAAGAGCACGGAACTTCCTGCAGCTCTGCTGCTGTGCTGACGTCCGGGCCTGGGCCTGCCTGTGCTCCCGCCTCTTAGCAGACACCATCTCTTCCCTGCCTGAGCCCCACTTCTACAGAACGTGCCATGGGGGCCTCCTGGTGTCCTCCTTGCTACCAGAGCTGTGGCCTGGGTCTCCAGCCATGTGTCCACTGGCCAACAGGGGTCCTGCTCCTGGACTCTGCCCTGGTTCTTGGGCAACACCTTCAGGTGCTTCCTTCAGGGACTGGGCCACTGCTCAAATATAAGACTTCAAGATTTTTATTTCTGAATTTGTGCTTTGTGCTGCCTTTAGATGCAGTCAGTACCATGTGGTGGTCTGATCTGATAACAGTCCTCGTCTGGAGAGAGGTCCAGGCAGAGCTCACGCTTCACAGACCCTACCCCAAGGGCTCTAGTCCTGGAGCCACCTGCCTACACCTGCTCATGAGGCTTAGGGCAGGGAGCTCAGATGGGCATACAGCGTCAGGCCAGCAGAGAGCACAGATGACCCAATTCCTTGAGTCTCCTTCACCCACCCCTGGTGTGAAGGGCAGGCACCAGCCTGGGAAAGACAGGCTTCCAGGGAGCTGCCTATGGGGCATGGGCCTAGGCCCACCCTCTTCACCCTATCCTGGGCAAGGCCAGCCTTTGAAAAAGGAAGAGGGCTTTCCGGTATCTCCCAGCCCAGGCACAGTGGTGACAGGTCATCAAGGTAAGGTGAGCAGGACATGAGAAAGAACCAGCATCCCTCCTGTCCCCAAGCAGAACAGGTAACTGGGTCCCACCTCAGCCTTGGCCCAACACAGGGCTTTATATTGATACCCAAAAAAAACATGCTGAGCACAAGAATTTTTTTTTTCATAGCTTGGTTTCTCTTAAAAAACAAACAAAAAAAAATCATTGCACCAGCGTCCTAAGCCTCAAACAAACAAAAAACAAAACACCAAAATCAAGTCGCCCCCCCCCCCGCAACAATAAACTTTACATCTCTTTGGCAACAATAACTTAGAATCACCCCATTTCTATTCATTCCAGCAATAGCTGTTACAAAAATAGTCCCTGTGCTACCCAGTCCCACCCTTCCCTGTACTCCATTATCCTGGAGGGCAAGAGCCCCAATGCTGCCTGGGGTGCAGCCCCCACTCTCCTTCCAGGCACAGGCCAGGGCACTGCCCAGCCAGGGACACCTTGGGAACAGGGCACGGGGGGACAGCACAACCTGGAAGTCCTCTGGTGCCTGCAGGTGCCAGGGCTCGTCAGAACCTAGGCAGGAGCAGCCAGGCCCTGTGCAGAGGAGCTCCCAGGGAGGCAGTGAAGGGAAATCAGCCACAGATTCAGGTGAGGGAGTGGGGACACTGGCACTGCGTAAACCCAGACTTGGGAGAGGATGAGGGGCAGGACTGATAACCACCTTGGGGCCTGTGCCCCATCCAGCTAAGGGTACAAGTGTCCCATGAACAGATGGAGGGAGCCAGCCAGGCACGGCATGCAGGCCCACAGCCAAGGGCAGGTCTCCCAACCCCGGCCGAGCAGTCCAGCGGCAGCAGCCAGAGTGGAAAGGTGGCTACAAGGTGGGGGCCAGCCAGGCCCAGGGATGTAGGATGTGGGGCCCTTCAGAAGTGTTTATGTTTCTATATCCAGACACCCACAGCCCTCAGGCTGGGCCATCCTGGGGGACTGGCAACAAAACCTAGTGTCCAGGACACATTCTGCCCCCAAGGTGACACAGGCAGCGTGCACAGACTACTGTCCAGGGCTGGAGAGGGGCCGCCCATCCACCTGCTTCACCAGGACGCTGCATGGTGCACCGTGGTTCTGGATCTGCTGCTGCCAGGGCTGTGGTCTCCCCTCATTCCTGGTCCCCATTCTGCTGCTGCCCAGGACAGGACAGCAGGGGCTCCAGTGATGCCTGTCTCTTCAGGATGCAATGCCTGGGCCTCAAGCCTCTGTGTACTCGCCTCCAGTGTTTGCTGCAGGGCCTGCCAAATAGAGGGTGCAATGAGCATGTGGGACCCCCATTTCCCCTGCTCACAGTACCCACAGGTTTACTGGTGTGCCTCCTATCTGCCTATCCACAACTGCCTTGGTAGGAGAGGATGAATTTCTCTTCCCATTGTTTCACCCTGACCAAACTCTTTTATAGGTGGGGAAACAGGCCTGAAGAGCAAGGGGCTGGTCAGGGTCATGCATTTATTTCCTGGTAACTGGCCTGTCTGCTCCAGGGTGAAGTTGACAGGCCTTTCCCTTCAGGGTGCAGGCACAAGGCCAGGCCAGGTAGAGGATTAGATCTACCTTGAGTGGGGTAAGAGGCAGGTGGCTTCCCGGAGGAAGTAGGCTTTGAAGGCCACCTAGCAAGATACTGAGGACTTTATCAGGCACTGTGCATGGGGTATAGGGAGAGCTCACACAGGAGCTCAGGCAGGAGCCAGGAGTGGACTGTAACACAGCTGGTGGTGGGGAAAGTGCAGTCCATTCTTCCTAGTAGTGCCCCACCTGAGCACTAAGGGTGTTAGCTGCTAGCCAAACCTATGCCCTGAATAGGCAGCCTGCAGCAGCTTCTGTCACACACACCAGCAGGAGGCTGGAAGTAAGAGGGTTCTGGGGATGTGGCTGAGCAGGATGGGGGACTGCCAGCATGAAGCTCAGGATAGTGGGGGTAGGGGGTTGGGCACTGGACACTAAATCTACCCTGCATCCAGACAAGGGCAGGCAGGCCAGGGCAGGTGTGTGGCCCTAGGCAAGGGACTGACCTCATCAGCCTCAGTTTCCCCATGCCCCTTGCAGTGCTTCCTGCCGGTTCTCTGCGCCTCACCTCCCACAGACTGGGCGTCTGAGTCCAATACGTGCGAGATGGAGAAGCGGGATGCAGGCGCGGGCGACACGGTGAAGCGCGAGATGGGCGCGGTGGCGGCTGGTTCAGGGGTCACGGCAGGGGCGGGCGCAGGCGGACCCAGGGTGGTTGCCAAGACCCCTTTAGCCGGCGCCCCAAGGAAGTCGTTGTCCCAGTCGAACCCGCCGCCTGAAACTGGGCCGGGCTGCCGGGTCACTCGTGTCCGCGGAGTCCCCGCCCCAACATTACACTCCCACACGTCACAGCCCCGCCCCTGACTTCACGGTCTGCCCTACGTCATGGCCCCTTCTCTGACATCACGCCCCCAGCTCACCCTCTTCCGTTGCAGAGCCTTCTGGAAAGCGGTCACCCCGCCTTGGCCGGCTGGGGGCGCTGGGCGAGCCAGGGCTGCCCGGCACGTATGCGGGGGGTGCCTCCTTCACACCGGGGAAGGGCTCCCCGAGCTCCCGGGTGGGGCTCTCCTGCAGAGGTCAGAGCACACCTAACTTGGCCACCCGCGCCACCGCCCCTCCACACCCGCATTCCATGCCCTCGTACACGCGCACACAGCACCGAGTGCACCTGCGGGAGCAGCCCACCCACCTGGTCAAAGAGGTAGACGGTGACGTCGTCGAAGAAGGACACAGCCTTTTTCTTGCGGTCCAGGTCCTCGCAGAAGGTTTCGGAGAGCAGACTGGGCATTTTGAGCAGGCTGCGCAGGTTGCGTGCACTCTGGCTCTCAGCCACCACCACAGGCACCGCAGGTGACTCCTCCTCACTGTCCTCGCTGGGTTCCTGGATGCTGTAGCAGCGGAGCTCCTCATCTGACTCATCACTGTCCTCACTATCGTCTTCTTCCTCCTCTGGCCGGCCCTCCAAGGCCCCAGGGCGCCCAGGTAGGGCCAGGCAGAGTGGGGCTCTGGGGGTGCCTGAGCTCCCTGTCTGCCCCAGTGACAGTCCTGGGGGCCCCTGGAGCTCTGTGCCATCACCTTCTGGGATCCGCGGCACAGGGGTCAGCAGGAAGAACTTGGAAGAGCCGAGACTGGCCATAGGCTGCTCCTCAACTGAGCCTAAGGACGTAGGAGGCTCTGGTCTGGGACTAGAGAGGCAGGCCTCTGGCTCTGGGGGACACTTTTGGGGCCCTGGCAGTGGTGGTAGCACCTCCCTGTGACCAGCGCTGGGTGCCTCCCCCAGCACTGCAAACACAGGAGAGGTCTGCACAGACTGCAGCCCAGGGCTCTGCCCTGAGGTTTGACCTGAGCTGCTCTTCTCAGGGCCCAAGGAAGGTTCAGGCTCAGCATCCAGGTCTGAAAAGTAGGCAGAGTCTCGGTAGGGGTTCTTCTCATTGAGGCTCCCCAGGGAGGCTGAAAGCTGGGTCTGGGGCCCTGGGCTATCACCCTCTGCAGCCAGCTCCCTGGGCTCACTGGCCTCCTTGAGCACAAACTCGGGAGACTCATTGTTCTCTGTGTCATAGCCACTGTCCAGTGCACGGGGCTGTCCACAAGGGGGGCCAGCAGCAGATGGGCTGGAGACTTCGCAGCCACCATCACTGGCTGAGGAGGGGATGTCCAAGGAGTCCAGGGAGTCAGGCGTCCCCACCTGCTTTTGCAGAGAGCGTAAGGCTGGCACTATGTCAGGCTTTTCAGCCTGAGGGCCATCACTGGACACATCAGTGAAGACACCTGAAGTGGCCTCCGTTGTGTCTTCATCTTCACTGCTGGGTTCCTCCACCTCCGGGGAGCTGGTGCTGTTACCCAGGGTCGGGACTAGCTCTGGGACTGTCACTTGGCTGCCAGCAGCAGGTGTGGGGGAAGCCGGAAGGGTGTCAGGAGCACTGGCATCCTCAGAGGGAAGAGGGGCTCCCTCGTGGGATGGTGATGGGACAGAAGGAAGAGACATTTGGGGTCCAGCAGAGCCCTCAGCTTCCTGCGCAAGCCTGGGTTCTGGTTGGGAGTTGTCACCCCCACTTATGGCTGCCCCAGTCCAGGGGGATATGACCTGGCAGGGAGCAGGTGCCAGGCCCTGGGCAGAGCCCAGATGGGGAAGGATGAGGCAGCGGCCTGAGTCAGGGCTAAGAGAGACTGACTGTGGTCCAAGCAGAGATTCTCTGGGGCTCTCCTGGGCTAGGGGGTGGTCCAACTCCGGGGAGGCTTGCAGGGTCTGCAGTGGGCTGGGGTAGTCATCCATATAGCTGTCAGGGTAGCTGCCCACGTAGCCGAGGTCCCAGGACTCAGGGTCACGGCTGGCACTGTTGTTGTTGGCTGACATGTTGGAGCTCCAGTGTCCACGCTGGGTGGCCCTCTGTGCTTCGGCCTCCCCCAGCTCCTCCTCACTCCCGGTGAGCACAGCCCCTGAGCACAAAGAAGGGGATGCACCCAGAGGGTCCTCAAAAAAGGGTGGGCAGAAGGCAGCCTCTCCCCAGTCTATGTCCTCCGCGATAGGTGAGGGTGAGTGGGAGGGGCAGGGCGAGTCCTGGCCGTGGCTCCTGCGCGGGTTGTGGTCGCGGCGGCTCCAAGGACTGTCCACTGGCACTCTGTGGCCCAACAACGGCTCCATGGCCAACGAGGCAGAGGCACTGCCATCCGAGTCTTCGTCGTCTTGATCCGCAGTGGCTCGGGGGCTGGGGGCGCAACCTGCGCAGTCGGGGTCGTGGCCCGCGGTGGGCGCGGCCTCCTCTAGGCGGATGAAGTATTCGCTGCCTAGCGAGGGGCTGTGCGCACTGAGCACTGGCACCACGCCCAGCGGTGCGCTATCCAGGGTGCACAGCTCCTGCAGGCGCGTGGCGCGGCCAGGGCTAGGTGGGAAGGCCTCCGAGCCGCGACCCGCCTCCCACTTGTACTCGAAGTTGAGGCCTCGGCTCGTCTCAGTCACCGTCAGCACGTCATCTCCATCGCTGTGGAAGCCATCGCCCGTGAACTGCTCCAGCAGTGGGAAGGACGAGGCGGCAGCCAACTCGGCCGCCACGCCCAGCGTAGGACCCGCTGCACCCTGCCCCGAGCCCGCACTGCCCCCGCCTGGCCGCAGCGAGCGCCAGCGCCGCTCAAACTCCTCCTCCACCTCGGTAGCGCCCTTGGCACACAAATAGGACAGCAGCAGGTGCACCTCTTCGGCCGTGGGCCGCTGCTCCGGCTGCAGCCAGCAGAACTGCATCACTTCGTACCTGCCAGGAGGTTCCCATGGGTGGCCCAACCCCATCCAGAGGCAGGCTGGGCCGGAACCACAGGAGAGTGGAGCACCGGCCTCTCTCTGAGAGCTGGCTCCCCTGAATCCCAGGTGCCTCCAAGGCTGCTGGGGGAGTCTCCCACTTCCTCAACACCCTAAACGTCCTAAGGCCCCAGGATTCTTGGAGGAGAGGCAAAGGAAGGGACACTTTGCCTTAGATCCTCTTCCCTGATTATGGGGGGCAGGAAGAAGGACAAGGTAGCTTGAGCCCCAGGCAATCACTTTGAACCACCTGTCCCTGGAGACTTGGGGTACCCCCACTGTCAGCCTTCCTCTCCCAAAATGGTGGGGTCCTCACCAGCGATCAGACAAGGTCAGCTGTAGCTGGGGCTTGGGCAGTTTGAGCTGCTGCTCCCGGACAGCGTAGGCCAGCACCTGTCGGTCCGAATGTTGAGGGTAGGGCTGCGTGCCCAGCTCAAAGAGCTCCCAGATGGTCACACCCAGAGACCTGCAGGGGTGATTGCCATGAGACAGGCCTGGGAAGGACCACACAGGGAACCACTGTGCCAGCCACTCTGGGCCCAGAGTTCAGTACACACCAGCTGGCCCTCCCGAAGGACAGACACACAGGTGTCAATATACAGTCCCTGGCAAGGTAAAGCCAATCTGGCCTCACACAGTCACAGCCATTGGTCTGTCCACTCATTCACCAGAAATGCTGAAGATACTATGCCAGGTGTGGGAGCTGCCAGTGAAGCTGAAAGGAAGCTTGGAACCCAGACAGGACTGGCCCAAGAGGCTGAAGCAGGAGCAGGCCTAGACACCCTAGGTGGTATGGGTAAGGCTGGGGTGAAAGGCAGGGGTTCCTAGAGTACGCAGGGCTAGAAGAAAGCAGCTAGGGGTCCCTTCCAATGAGTGGTAGCTTTCCCTTGATCCTCTGACCCTGGGAGGTAGGACAGAGCTGATTTGGCAATGGAGAAGTCATCATGACCTTTTTGGTCAGAGACCTGTGAGTCCTGTGAGGGAGACACCAGCCCGGGTTCTGAGGTTGAGTATGCCAAGAAGAGGCTCCTCAGTGGGGTTCACAAGCAAGTGATGGAGTGTCTGTGATGGGGCATAGTTAAGAGGAGGACCATGTGTACTGGCTGTCATGGTCACAGGAAGTGGGATACAGCAGTGAGAAACAGCCTGCACCCACCAGGCATGGACACCCCATGGCAGGAGACACACCCCACACCTGACAAGTCTCCAGGGCAGCTCAACCCCACCCCTCTGAAGGCTTCAGAGCCCAGGCAAACAGAATGGTTGCTCTGTACCCCGCCTGGTGCTGGGGTTCAGGCTGCAATGCTGGGAGATCCTAGCATCTGCGTCCCTGTTTGCTCCTCTGTCCAACACTGCCTGGGGTCCCTCAAGGACAGCCAAGAACCACCCCACCCCACCCCACCCCCGATCTCTTCATAGGCACAGATGAGAGTCAGGGCCTCGCATCTGGTAATGACATAATCCCTCCTGCTGGGCTGAAGGTGAACTCTGGAACCTAAATGTATGCTTTAGCGCTGATATTGCTGGTGTTGGCCCAGCAGGTCTGTGGATACCTAATGCCCTGACCGTCCAAGCCGTCCCTCTGCAGTATACAACCTTATGCGGTCACACTGTGGCAGGCATGAGTACATTAGGGCACACGCTGAGTAAGAGGGGAAGGGTAGCCCCCTAGGAATCCCCTAGACCTGCAAGCTAGAGGCTTGTGCGCCCACCGCGAGGTCTGGCCCACCCTTGCACCGCCCCCTGTTGCAGACCCGTGCTCACCACACATTGCTGCTCTTGGTCTGGTCCACTACCAGCAGGTTCCCATGTACCTCGTCCACTAGCTCAGGTGCAATCCAGCGAAGCGGCACCCACAGCTGGTCCGCAGTCACAAAGTAATCTTCCTACGGGCACACAGGGCAGGATTGGATCCCATGTGTGGCAGTCCATCCCACAGACCTAACCCCCCTGACTTACCCTATATTTGCAGTGGGACAGGCCATAGTCCCCAATCTTCACTGTCAGGTCTGCCGTCAGCAGGCAATTCCTCAGGGCCAGGTCACTGCAGAGCAGGAGGCAGGGTCAGTTAGGGCTTTGGCCCAAGAAAGAATGACTCATCTCCCAGGGGCCTCCTGGGCCTAGGCCAGCAGGCAGACAGGAAGCAGTGCTTGAGAGGCTGCCCTACCCTGGGCACTCTGGAAAGCCTGTGTGGACAAGACCTTAACACATGGCAGTGTAGATGGGGAAAATGAGGCCTGTGGGCCACCAGTGAAGACACTGCCCAGCTCCTACCCTTCTCCTGGGACACTGGTCTGCGGACCTAGCCAGGGAGCTCTCAGGCCATGGACCACCCGGCCCTGTGTGTCTGCAGTCTTCAGTACCATCTCCCCTCCTCCAAGGACCCCAAGAGGCAGCACTCAACAGGAACTGGAGCCTGGAGTGTGCCAGAAGATTCTGTCCACAGGTCCAGGGCTTGGGCCTTCTCTGCCAAGTAGGAGTAGAGCTGAGACCCCAGGTACGCATGGAGCATCCCTAGGCAAGCCATGTAGGTTCCCCTAGGACAACCTCCACCCAGCATCCAGCCCTGGTGCTGGCTTTGACCCTCCCATCTGGCTGGTGGCTACATGGGAGATGGAGGTACAAGGCACAGTAAGGTGTGCCACACCTTCTGGATAGCTGCTTCACTGAGGACTTAGGTTGGGGACAAAGAACCCTAGCCTGTCTCCACTCCCTGAGGATGGTATCTGCATGCCAGGGGACAGCTGTGAGCACGTGTCCCAGGCCACAGATGTGTGCCTAAGCCTGAGGCAATTGGGGAAGGGGCACGGTGGGCAGATCAGGAGGCTGGCAGCTGCCCTCTTCAACAAAATCACTGATGCTGGAGTTGCCTGTGTCATCACTCAGCACCAGGATATTGTTGGGGAGGACGGCCTGTGCGGCATCCAGGGCTGGCGGGGGCCACTCGTCCATCACTACTTCTTCCGGCATGTCCCCCAGGTTCCTAAGGGGCTGAGCACCCTGACCTGTCTTTGCAACTGCCCAAGGCAGGACAAAGCCATCCTTTCCCTTGCAGGGCCAGCATTCTGTGAGAGACAGAGTGGGGCTGGTGTGGGGCCCTCACTTCAGGGTTTCAAATCCTAATCTTCCCAGTTTCTAAAATCTAGTGAAATTCCTCATAGCATGGCTACTTGAGGCCATGTACATTAATCTGGTTCGTCCTCATGAGGCCCCGAAGAGCAGCAGCACCATCCATCCTTTGGGCCAATGAGGAGCCCACCCCCATGGGTCAGCAGAGAAGACCCTGCCTGGGTAGCCTTGCCTGCCCCTCACCTGTGCACGTAGTTGTTTCGGTGCAGGTGGAGGACACCACAGGCCACCTCACAGGCCATTCGCTGCAAGGTCAGGGGGTCAGGCACCATAGATTCTGTCACCCGGCAGCTTCTCAAGTAGCCTTTAAGGTCCCCCTACCAAGAGGGAGCACATGTCACCTCCCAGTTAGGGAGCAGCTGTCAGCCTGCTGCCCTGCCCTGGGGCCTCCCACCTTGCCTTGCTTTGCCCCTGACCCATACTGGGGATAAATGGGGCCTAGATGGTGTCTGGCTTACAGCCATGAGCAACAGCTTTCTATAGAGCTGGGGAGAGGCTTTGTGTCCCAGGGACAGGCCAGCCAGGTGACCCACAGGCAGGAGGCCCTCCCACAAGGCCTCTGCTAACTAACCCTGCCAGCCAGCCATTTAGAATCTGTAGCACCGTGACCCTGTGAATAGACAGGAATGCAAATCCAAGTGCATCTGCTTGCTGCCAAGCAATCCAGGAAGGAACCCAGGCCTGGAGACAAGGTAGGCTAGCAGCCACAGCTGCTAACAACCCAACCCCAGGAATCCGGACACCAGACTGTGGGAGCCTTTGTCCTGCAGGGGACCCAGCTGTGACCCAGGTATCCTCAGAATGTGCCAGTGCTGGAGCTGTGTGTGGGCCTGGGGGCTACAGGGCGGGCAGCAGGCAGCAGGCTGCAGGCATAGGATTTGCATCTGCCCTGAGGAAGTGGCCAGGTCCTGACCATGATTAAACAGGCTGTGGGGTTCCCCGGCCTGCTCTGTACTGAACTACCACCCAGGGTGCTCGGAGAGCCAAGCAATGAGACACACTTATGCTACCCAAGCCCTCTGAGCCATTACTGGGGCTTCTGGGTCTCCGCTCTGCACAGGCCTCCTCTGGAAGGTGGCAGGGCAGGGTTCCCTGGGATTCTGCTTTAGGGGAGATGTGAGGTGCCAGGGATGGCATATATGGCCAAGGCATGGAGGATCCCAACTCAGCAGAGCACCCCCTCCCCATCCCATCTGGGCAGCAGCTCAGAGCCAAGGCTCTAGAGAGGCAGGGGCAGCCCTTCCCCTCCAGCGGCCACTCACCAGTGGGCAGAACTCCATCACCAGCAGGTAGGGCGTCACCTCGGCACACTGGGCGAGGCACTGGAGCAGACTGCTGTGCTGCAGGGCCCTGCAAGAGCCATGCAAGGTGGGGCAGGGTAGCACAAAGCCTGCCTCTGTTACAGGGGTCCTGGGCAACTGGCACGTGCCCCTCCAGCTGCCTGTCCCCAGGTGCCACCCACCTGTAGGGCTGTGCCTCCTCCAGGAACTGCATCTGCTCCTGCACACTGGCGCTCACCTTCAGTTCCTTCACCACCACCTGGGTGCTGCTGACACCCGAGTGCACCTCACCCAGGAACACCTGCAGGGACAGGTATTACCCAGGCCATACTCCAGCCCCATTCTTCTTCCCCCTCCATCCCCCAGGATAAGCTACTTCCTTCTGTGCCTCAGTTTACCCTTTGCAGCACGGGTTCTGGACCCTTTTGGCTGGAATACCATGGGCATGTATCTATACCAGAGCTATCCTGGCTCTCTCTGAATGCCCACAGTGAGAAAGGGGTCCAGAAGAAGCCAGGACCAGTATGCTGCCCCCTCCCTCACACGAGGCTGCTGCCACACTCACCTTCCCAAACCAGCCGTGCCCGATCTCCTTCAGGTAGAGAAGGCTGTGCCGGCCCAGGTCTGTGGACTTGAGGAGCTGCACTGTAACAAGACAGGGGGGCTCAGGACCCCAGTCAGCCCCTCCCACTCTCCAGCTTTCTCCTTGGCTCCTCAACTATCCTGGAGAGCTCCCTTGAGAGCCCCAGCACCAGCCAGGGAGGGTAAGCCAGGCACCCAAGGCAGAGCCACCACACTTGAGGGCCACCATCAGGGGCCAAGCCATCTCAGGAACAGGGATGGCTGACGCCCAGGAGAGCCTGGAGTTGGCAAGCTGCACCCAGACATATTACTAAGTGGCCTGAGAAAAGGACACCAGAGCCACAGGGACAAGCCAAGCTGAAGACAGCAGGGCTTGAAGCTCGACCTGCTGCACAGCAACACCGAGCAGGCAGTGTGGCTGCAGCAGGAGGCTGATGCCGAGGCTGGGATGGCCCCAGAGCGGCCCGCCCCCACCCCTCCATGGCATCCCAGCACCAGGCACACCAAAGGCTCCTTTGTTGGGGGCTGCTTGGCACAGCCCTGTACGGGACACACTGGGCCCATTCTCCCTGCGAGCTAGGCTGGGTGAGGTCAGCAGGCAGCAAGGGTCAGCGTAGGCTCAGGAGGAAGGGACCGCAGCTGGCTGCACCCACTCATGTCCCCCTGGATTCCCTGGATTCTATTCCCACACCAACTGCTCAGAGGGCAGAAGGGATTGGAACTGAGCCTGGCTCCCAGGAGAGCCTGGGGATGAGGGAGCTATGTTGGCTTGATGCAGATTTTAGGGTGGGGGTCCCATTGGACCTGTGTCCTGGAGCTACTCCTGTGCACCTCAGTCTTGGAAGCCCCCTCCCCCACCATGGGGTCTCCAGGACCTCACTTATCCCCAAGCAGGCTAGGGTCCCATGCTAGTAGACATCAGGAGAGCCATGGAGGCAGAAATGTGTTGTAAGGTATGGCACAGAGGGCCTGAGGGACTGGGGCCCCAGGCTGGCACAGCTGTCCTCCTCTGCCATCTTGTGACTATTCTGCCCATGTTTCTAATCCTGGACCCATAGCTTCATCCAAAATCTCCCCCCGACCCGGAAGCACGGTGCCCCCTAGAAAACAGACCAGAGCTGCAACAATGGAAAAAATGCACCTCTGTCTTGCCCTGGATCCCTGACCCCTTGTCCCAGTAGAGAGGCCTCCACTGGCTGGAACCAGCTGGATCTCAAGGATTATGGGGTCCCAGGCACAAACTTGCCCCCACAGATAGACCCAGCCTCAGCCACCGCCTTGAGGGTGGTCTGTGGCTCCCACCTGCTCCTAGCAGCACAAGGCTGCTAGGACTGTAGCTCACACACAGGACTTGGAGACCCCCACGGCACCCAGGAAGGCAAACCCCATGCCGTTGAGAATTCCTGCCCTTTCAGGAGGTGCTGCGGCAGCTGAAAGCCTTCAGGCCAGTGGACAAATGCGCTCCTAGCCTGGACTTCTCCAGATTTGGGGCTGGAGGACATGCATGGAATATTGAGCCTGGGTAGTGGCTAGAGGTCATCTAGTTCTGCTCTGCAGGCCCAGTCAGTAACTTGAGATGGGAAGCACGGTGGTCAGGGCCCAGTAGGGCAGGCTGAGTGGCCATGGTGACATGCTTGGTGCCAACAGAGCCCCCGTTGAGTCTGTGGGGCTCCCTGGCCTGACATGCCCTCCCTCACTTTCCATGGAGGAGCCAGGCTGGGCAGTGGGCGGGGGGGGGGGGCAGGCGGCCCTTGGTTAGAACTTTCAGACAAGGGGCCTGAGAGTTGACTAACGTGGAAGTGGCCTGAGGCCAGGGACCTCACCACAACAGAACAGAACTGGAGTTCTAAGGCCTTGGGCATTGAACCATCACCTCTGTACCCTGGACCCCATGTTCGTGTCTGTGTGGCCAGCATCGTGGGAGGGCCCCCTGGAGGGGACCTAAAGAGGGACATGCAGAAGGAAGCCCCAGGAAAAGGCCACACTTGTGTCTGTACCTAGTGAATGGAACCCCAGCCCAATTCCTGACCCCACCCACAAAGGAGCCCCACAAGGGTCCCCCTCAGTGAGTAGGCACCATGAAGCCCATGTCCCTGCAGAGTGGGGACACAGAAAATGGGGCTCTAGGGCCAAGCATCTCAGAGCACAGAAAGGTGGCCAATCTCAGGCCCACAGAGCCTGGCCACCTTGCCCCAGCCTCTGAAATGCACCCTCTCAGGTGAGGAGGTGGCAGGAGGAATGCTGTCCCTAAACCTGGTGACAGCTGGCCTCTAGATCTAGAGGGGAAAGTCCACCTTCAGCCACAGCCCAGCCTGGGGTACATCCAGAGAGTTCACACGTGTCCGCAGCCCCTACCATCCCTACCACCAGAGCTGAGTTCCTTGGGCTTCCCCAGGGCCAGGCCTGCTGACCCCCAAGATATGGGAGAAGGAAGGGAGGCCAGCCCCGTTCTCCCTACCTGGCCCACTCACCTGAGCGGCCTGGTTGCTTGGCCATGGGCAGGGAGACCTCAGTGAGTGGCAGCACGTACACGTCAGGCCCGTTCTGCGCCGCTGCTGCCGGGGAGCCCTGTGCCGAGCAGTCGGCCGCATACTCATCCCCCTCAGCATTCTCAAACTCCTGCAGGCCAAGGCACAGCCATGAGCCCAGCACCTCAAGGGTCAGAGGGAAGGGTGTGCCCAGGGTCCACAGGCACCCTTTCCGGATGTGATCCTGACAGGAGGTGGAGGGCACCCATGTGCAAAACTGCCCTCCCCACTTCCCTCTGCAGAGCCCTGCTCCTAGCCTCTCTGTTCCCAGGAACTCAGCTGTCCCAAAAGGGGCCATGGCCAGAGTTAAGCCCTCTAGAGAATATGGTGAGCCCTGGAATGCCAGTGTTAGATTTGGGGATGGGCAGGCTGGGCAGAGCTCCACACTGGGGCAAGAGGCTAAACCAGCCATCCCTGCCCTTCCAGAATCAGACTGCAACACCTCTCAGCCACCCCAACCCCCAGGAGTCACTCACCCCAGGGCCCTGTCTGTGATCCAATCTTGTCTTGGGACAACCTCAGGGACAGAGGGCATCATCCCACCCAGTCCTCACAGTCATCTAGGAGAAGCAATCAGGTGCCCCCACTCCTAGCCAGAAGAGGGATAGCAAACCCATGGCCACCTTCACCCCCTAGGAAATGTCGCACACCCTCCCTGCCAAGTGAGCCCTGGTCCTCTGCCTCCTCCTGGAGCCCAGGCTCCTTAAAAGCCTGGTGCTGGGCACCCTAGGGCAGCTCCTCTTGGCCAGCCTGCTGACTTGAAATGGGGCTGCCACGGTCCACTGGAGGAGACCCCACACCAGGTCCAGAGCACATTCCAAGGTGTGAGCCTTGGACACACACACACACACACACACACACACACACACACACACACACCAGTAACAGTTTCTCCTGGCCACATGCTGTCCTGCCTACAACCCCCGCTGCCCAGTGGGGAATTAGAGGCTCTGCGGGGTCAAGAGGCAGCCTGTGGAGTTGGAACCTGGCCACCCACTCCAGTGCCCGTGCTCCTGTGTACAGGCATTGGGCTGCGATGGAGGAGGCCTGAGATCCTTACCACATAAAGGGGCTCCCCTTTTTCTGGGTCTCAGTTTTCTTACTGTGAAAAAGGAGTCATAGGCTCCCTGTTGATTTTCCTGTGGGCCAATCTGGGTCCATACCCAGAGGGAGCCACTCAGAGTACAGGAGAGAAGTCTGGTTCCCGCGGCAACACCCCTTCCCTGGGGCCCAGAAGACTTCCTTTCATCCCAGCTGTGGCAAAGGCCTCACCACTTGGGCTCTGCAGATGCCCCCTCCCATGTGAGCTCAGCCCTGGCTCTAGCCCATTACCTGCCGATTTGGCCTGGGTGCCCACCAGGTGCTGCCAGCGCATCGGACGACCAGGTAGCACAGGGTCAGCATCAGGCCTGCCCAGCCCCTTCCTCAGTGCAGCTCCAAGAGGGGAGCCTGAGAGGGAGCTCCCCGCCAGGGTCTGCTGGCGCTGGAATGTTCTGGGCACCATGCTCCCCAGGAGGTGAGGAGGGCACAGGGCGGGGGTGCTAGCCTGTGTGTGGGGCCTTGTTCTCATAGAGCCCCGAGGAAGGCCCAAGTCCCACCCTTTGTCCCACCCCCACCCCTGTCCCCACAGCTCAGAGGCTGTGTCCTCAGGGTCCTCCAGGAAAATTGTGTGCAGGAGGTGGCGGGGGGATTGCGGGTGGTGTGCACCAATCCTACCCAGGCACTCAGCCCCCCTTGAAAGCAGTCAATAGCAGCCCTGGAAAATGCAGGGGGTGAGCAGGTGCCAGATCAAATGACTCTCTGGGACAGGACGTTGAGTAGGGTGGAGAGAAAAGTGGGACTCTAACATGGGGCTAGTCACTTAGGAGGGAGCTGGGCCTGAAATACAGATGGGGTGCTGTGCTTGGCCAAAAGAGGCTCCTCCCATTCCTACTCTCTCTGTGCAGGAATCTGACCTCCTGCCCAGCTGGGCTGCCCCTTGTGGGGGCATGAATGGCTGGAGGGCCCTGGCCAGGCTGCAATGTGCTGACTAGCAGGACTGCGGCCCACACCACCCTAGGTGGGGCCTCAGCATTGGGTTCAGCTCCATATGTCAGCTAGATGGAGCCACAGCTGGATGGGGGTGGCTGGGAGACTTGCATGGGGGGGACAGTCTACCCTCAGCCACCACCTTCAGAGCAGAGCTCACCTCTCAAGTCCAGCTTCCCTGGGCCCAGTAAAACTGGCCACTGTGGTTGCTAACAGGTGCCCTGGCATCTAGAACCTGCAGGTGATGCTCATGGAAAGAAGATGCTCAAACTAGGGGTTCCAAATGACAGTCTGGTGCCTGGCCTGAGAAACCTGTCTGCATGACTTCTGTTTCCCTGATGCAATGAGGAAGGGTCTGAGAATCTCCCACAACAGTATCCCCTCCATTCAGAGTCAAAGCCCTCAGGTTGCAGGGAGCCCCTCTCACCCCAGTCTTCAGGGGCTTCCTTGGCCTTCTAACCCCTGAAAGGCCTGGGGCAGGTAGTGGGCAGGGGCCCCTGAGAGCCTCAGGAGAAGGGCTGTGAGGTCCCAGGCTCTGCAGCACTAGGAGGGAGGACAGTTCAGGCCAAGTGAGTGCAAGAGCCCCTGGGGACCCCATAGGCAGCCCTGGTGGACTCCCAGCCCTCACCTTGAACCCGATGCCACCTTTCTTACAGCACAGGCAGGCCAGCATGAGGACGATGATGGTGAAGAGTCCAGAGAAGGACACGGCCACCACGGCCAGGGAGGATGACCACGAGAGCTCGCTGAGTGGGGCGCCGTCTGCTGAAAAGGGAGCACATGAAGAACAGAGCTGGGCATCAGCAAGGGCCAAGCCACTCTTCCCCCAGGCCCCTGCCCCACTCTGGACCCCAGAGTTCTGCACTGAGGCTCAGTACCAACTGCTTGCTCAAGGAAGCCATCTAGGACACTGCACCCTGACAAAGGCCAGAGCCAGCAGACAGCCTGCAGTCCTGTGGCTGACCACTGAGGGCCACTCTGCCAGAAGAGGGATGGCAAGCCCATGGTCATCTTCACTATGTGAGGCACATTGGCTTGGCTAAGTGGCCCAATAAGGCCCAGCTCCTCACATAGGGGTTCATTGACATCTCCATGAGCTCAGGTTCTCAGGGATTGTGGGAAGACCCCTTCATTTCTCTCCTGGACTTTGTGCACCCTACTCTGTCCCTCTGAGGCTAGGAGGGCATCACAGACATTATAAGGAGAAACCACAGAGCTGAATACTGGCCACTGGTCACATGCTGGGCCCTGAACAGCTGGAGGCCAGGGCCCTGTGTTGTAAGCCTCCATTCCTGAAAAGTGCAGGGAGCCCCCTAGCCCTCAGAAGGTGGCCCTCTATGTACTGGGCAGGAGCTGCTCCAAGGTATCTCATGCCCAACCCACTTCCAAGTCCCCTTGGTGCTGCTGTTTCATCCTGGACACAATAGGGACACTCCTTCTTCTGCAGAACCTGGTTCACATGAACTCCATCACCTCAGATGTTGAGTGTTTTTTTGGTTTTTGGGTTTGTTTGTTTTTGTTTTTTGCTTTTGTTTTGTTTTGGTTTTTTTTTGGTGGAACCAGGGATTGAACTCAGACCGTTGCGCTTGCCAGGAAAGTGCTTATTCCACTGAGCCATCTCCCCAGCCCCCACCTCAGATGTTGAAACAGGGCCCCCTCAGGATAGCACAACACGCTCCCTCCCAATTTTGACTAGACATTGGCTCCCAATCATAGATCTCCAGCAGCAAGCATGGGGATTAGGACTGATAGGGCATTTGGAAGGGCTGCTGGAGGTGGTGAGTATGAGGCCTAGGCAGACACAGCCTAGAATGCCCACTCTGGCTGCCAAAGCCATTCCCACACCCATGCTTGGGAAAGAGATGGGCTTCGGGCAGCTGGGGTAAGCAAGCAGGGCTAGGTGTCAAGAGGACAGGGTCACCAGCTCGGTCTGCACATGAAGCCCCATGTAGAAGGCAGCCATCCATGGCTGTGTCCCCATCCTTTAGAGCCCAAAGCAGGTGCCCTTGGAGGGCTTTCACAGACAAGGTCCAGGGTGAGCCTGCGTGCATGCATGGCATGGGCCTGTGCATGTGCACTTCCCTCATACATGTAAGCACCACTGTGTCCTCATGCCCAAGACATACAGGAGCACAGGTGCCAGGCCAGGACTCACAAGCAGGTATGCTGAGCAGCCTGGCACCTCCAGGCAGCAACGAGTGCCCTGAGGCCTGCATTGTTGCCATGGTGATGTACTCTCCCTTCTCCATCTGGTGCCCGAAGCAGCACCTCCCCTCCTTTGCCTGAGGGATGAACAGCCCACTTGGTGACCTTAGGGCCTGGAGCTGGCTATGTGGTCCTCGAGGATACTAGCAAGTGCTACAGCTCATTACCTACCCCACCCCCTTTGGGACTTTTCACGTCTCACCACAGGCAGAATGTACTGCAGCCACCCTGGCCCTTCCTCCCAGCCAGGTTGTCAGTCCTGACCACAGAGGGTCACTGGGAGGTGGGGTCACTTGGTACCACAGAGGGTGGGCAGAGGGGTGCTGAGTAGGCCCACTCCATCCACCCATGTTCCCAGGTGGAGGCAAGTGGCAGGGAGATGACCGGGTGAGGGTAGCCTATGAGGTGGGGGACCTGAACTTACAACTGGAGCCCAAGCCTGGTCAGGAAGTAGAAACCACAACCCAAGTGGGGCAATCCACCCACGTCCTTCCTCCAGACCCATCCCCAGCCTTTCTGCGATAGGGACACCAAGGCCCATGGGTCAGGAGACTTGGTTCAGGCCACGAGTAAACTGTCCCATGGCATGGCACCAGGTGGAGAAGGCAGGCTCCTTGGCTTCAGGCTGACTCAGCCCTGAGCTGTGCCTGCTCTCAGCTACCTGCACACTCTCAAATGAGGCTTCCTGGCCCAGTCTCCCTGCACCTGCGGCAGTAGGGGAGGGGGTGGCTGCTGCCGGGCCCAGAGAATCAGCTTCAAGGGTGGAAGAGCTTGACCCCAGATGGCGGGGACCAAGCACAGTGCTCTGGGGCTCATCACACCTGCCAGAATGACACAGCACATGTGCTGGCACTTGGACACACACACACACACACACCATGTGCACAACAGTGAATGTGCACCTGTACACACAGCCCTTCCTTCTGTCCCCACAACCTTGCTCTGGAGGCATCATCTCCACTTGGCAGGTAAGAAAAAAGGCTAAGGAGAGTTACGAATGCACCACCAGAAATACCCGGCAGATGCACCAGGGGGTCAAGGCCAGCCCTGCCCAGTCCTGTGTTCTCTCCTCCATGAACCATGGTTGAGTGCTCCTACTAGTGGTCAGGAAAGCCCACCCTCTTTTTGCTTTTATAACAATCTCAGGGGTGAGTCCCTGCTTGTTTCAAGGGATAAATCACCCTCTGGGTGCCAAGAGGAGCTGGGAAACACAGGTCACCCATGTTGAATGGCCAAGAAAGAGAAGAGCCCTGGGACCATGAGTGACAAGGCATCATCTCAGGTATGATTCTGAGGGGTATCCCAGCTGCAGGACACCTGGGTACCAATACATCCTGAGGGCAGTGCCAGGCCCAGCAGCTCCTAAGAGATCCCTAGGGGCTCACAGGGCTAGGGATGCCATGTGGCACTTCGGAGTTGAATCCAGGATCAAGGATGTAGAGGGCTGGGTAGAAGTGGTAGTAGGGAGAGTTAGGCCTATGGATCAAGTAAGCCAAGCAGGAGCCAGCCTGCCGGTGGCCTCCTAGCAGGAGGTCTAGACATGGACAGACCAGCAGAAAGCCCTGGGCTGTTGGGCTGGAGGAGGCAGTGTTAAGACCCCGGGTTAGGAAACCCACCCCAGTACTTGAGATGGGCACCATCCCTGATGAAGACTTCCTCCCTCTGTCCACCAGGGGGCGAGGGAGCAGAGATGAGGAAAACGTCCCTTCCCCATGTTCACAGACCCTAGCTCAGCAGCAGGTGGAAGACTGCCAAACCAAGGCCAGAAGGGAATGGACAGAAGGCTGAGGGGGGAAAGCAAAAGAGGACAGGGCCGGGCCTGGGCCTCAAACAGCAAGGCTTTGAATCAGGCCCTGTCCTCCTGGCAGTGGCCCCTACCTCTGGGGTTCCACCCCCACCCCTAGGCACAGCCCAAGCCTCACCAGAGAGGCCCTGTCCCTGCCCAGGCAGCCCCACCCACAGGTAGGCACGGCCCTACCTTCTTCACCTATGAAGTACAGCCCTTGACCAGGCAGCCCCACCCACATCCAGCCATGGCCCCGCCCTCACCCAGGGCCCCGCCCACATGCGGTCAGCCCCGCCCACACCCTTGCCAGAGGCCTCACCCACTCCAGAGGCCCCACCCTCACTCTCGCAAGAAGCTCTGCCCCCCGTCTCTCTGAGGGGTCCACTGTCTGGGGTCACTCAGGGCCTGGGGGCCCCCTGGGCACCTGCTCTGCCCACAACCTTTGAGGCCCAGCGGCAGGCTTACCCAGTGTGATCCTTACCCTCATCAGGTGGTATACTCTGGCTGATTTAGACGTGTGTTTCAGAGGAACCTGGTCCTCTGGAGACCCTTGACAAGTGAGCAGAGGCTTGTTGTGACCAACTATATGACTGGTGTGGGAAAAGGGGCCTGCTTGAGAGGACGCAGCCTAGGAACTCCAGTGTAAGGACACGTCTGGGCACAGGGCCCTTCCCAGGAGGGATGGCTGGGGCTCCATTTGCCCTGCCCAGCCTTGGCTAACTCTGGTGGCAACAAGGACCCCATGGCTCTGCTAGGTAACTGCTGTGCCAGCCTCAGCTCCACTGGGGTCTCAGGCCTACGCTGTTTTTTCTGTGCACCTGCTAAGAACACTTTGTCCATGGCTCTGTCACTATGGGCCCCTGAGCCCTGTCCCTAAACACTGCCCTCAAAGCAAGTAGGAAGACTGGAGACCCCAAGAGCTGCAGTCCAGACCCTCTGAAGACAGTTCCTGAGGAGGGGGTAGCAGATCCTAGAATTTCATGGGGTCAGGGGTCTCTGCCCACAGACTAGCAAACTAAATGTGGCCACATGTGGCTCTGGGGAAGGCACTGCCAGGTTTGGGGTGGGGGGCCTTTTAACCATAGGAATACCCCGACTGCCCAGGAAACACCTCCTTGGGCTCCAGGGGTACTTGGGGCTCAGGTCCTGCCCCACTCTGCCTGTCTGGGTAGCCCCTGCAGGAGGTGGCTGTCATGTACTGACTTGTAGGTAAGGGGGACTTTTAGCTATAGGGAGGAGCATCCACCTGCCATCCTTCACAGCATGGTAGGGACAGCTCCAGGTGGGTGACTCTGCCTGGGGGGGCCATCAGGCAGGAAGTCCCTGACAAACTGGGAGGGAGAAGATAAGACAGAGATCGGCATTTCAGGGCAACCTGGGGTGGAAGAGGCCAACTCTGCTACCCCAGTGTGGGACCCTGTGGCTGGACTCACCAGCGTAGCTGGGGAAGTACGCTTCTAGGTGTGTCTGGTAGGTCAAGGAGAGAGACACTGGGGTTTTTAATTTATTCATTCATTTACTTGTTCTTGAGTTTTTAGGGAGGATTTTTGTCGGGGGTTGTTTTGCTGTATTTGTTCTGCATTTGAGATAGGATCTCACTATTCAGTTTAGGTTGGCCTCGAACTCACAACAAACCTCCTGCCTCAGCCTCCCAAGTGCTGAGATTACAGACATGCACCACTACACCTGGCTATTCTTGAGTTTTTCAGACAGGGTCTCATTATGCAGTTCAGGCTGGGCTTGAACTCGATATGTAGCTCAGGCTGACCTTGAA